CGGGCGGGTGGGCGAGGGCGCCGCGAAAGAGCGAACGAGTTATCGAAAAGACCCGTCAAAGAATCGTGAAACCAAAACAAACATGAAATCACCTAAGTTGTAGTAACCAACGCGATAGCTATCTTAAGAAGTTACAAAAATTCCACGTAATAGCTTAGGAGCGTTAAATTAAACTGCCGAGTGTTCAAAATGTCTCTCAAGTGTTACTCAAGTGGTTCCTGCCGGGACGGACGAACAAATGAACAGTCAAGCAAACGAATAAAAAGTAAGTAAGCGAAAAGAAATGCGAAATCATTGAAACACACAAAAATGAAAATACATAGAAAAAATATTCGTATCAATAAGAAACGGAATCATTGAGTAAAGAAGAGATACAATAATCTGACGACTGAGCAGATCAAACGACCTCTAAATCGGAAATGCATATCGCAATATATATACATATGCAAAGTTAATAAACGAATGAGATTGGGGAATATGACTTCTGAATGGATGGTTGAGAACACCTGCTAACAAGGAATATCAGGCAGGCCCGTGGCAGCAAGGCCCGTACAACTGTTCTACTACTAATACGAGCGGACAGCTATTGCCCACTAGACGTGTGATAAAAACGATGAAAACATTGTTAACAAAATGAAAGCTAAACCATACCAGTCACAGCAAGTCTTACTTTATTCTTAAACGTGAATATCTCGACTTTGGGGGAAAGTGTGTCTTTATCTCGTTCCTGTATACGTAGTAACAATATATAATTCTTATTTATAAAGTTTATTATAATTATCAGTAGCGAGACGACAGACTTGGGACAAAATCGAGAGATTAACATTTCTGGAACAGCGGGAGTCTTGCTGTGGCTGGTTATCTCGTTGCCGCCCGCGCGTTGAGGAGGTGGGCGCGGCCGGGGGTACAGCTGGCGTGCGGCCGGCGTGCAGTCGGGTGCGCGCACCCGTGGCGACAGGGCTTGCGCCACGCGCCGCGCCGCGCCGCGCCGCGGTGCCTCACCGGAACTTACGCGCGGGGCTGCCGGTTCTGCCTGTGGCTCTCTACGCGGGAATGTGGGACGTTTCCGAAGGCCACGCGCCACGCGCGAAGCGTTTCGCAGGAATTGTTCGTATGCACACGGTCGGTTCCGCTGCGAGGGAAAGCGTTCTTTCGGAGAAGTTGGGCTGGAACGACGGCGGTGGGAATGGGGGAACGAGGCGTGGTCAGTGGGGGCGACGGGTTCGATCAGGAACCCTCTCCGAGCGGAGGTGAATTTCAGTGTCAGTAATCCTACACGTGAAGTGGCACCGCCTCTGTTCATTCAGTGGGAGCCATTAACAGTAACATGCGTGGCCAATAAATAAGCTTATATGGTTCGATTTGTAGTTAAACATGTATTCCTGTTACAATTACTTCTTTACTTTCTCCAATGTATTATACACACACACACTTTCCAATAAATATATTTTAAGAACTCTTTTCTGAACAGTTTCACCACTCAGTCGATATGAACAAGAGTAATAAACATTTCACAAATCTAATATTTGAGTTTGCTTTCCTCACTATTCGCTATGTTGTGTAGGTGTAGTGTTGAATGTACTTTGCTCTCTTCTCGGTTGACTTTCCCCTGCTTTGAAGAATATTGCTGGGATAATACCACGACTTTAGAATATGTAGAAATGACCCACTATGAGAGGTGCACGCGTAGCGTGTCTCCAGTGTCGTGTCCAGTGTCCACGGGCTCCAGAGATATGCGTGTTTGCTTGGATTAAAGAAGCAAGTGAGTGGATGCTTGAATGCGTGAGGGGGTAGAATATTTTTCACACCACGAGATATGTATCGCACTGATAGGGAGGAAATAGAAACCGTGTACTGAGCCTCCCTTAATTCTTCAAATAGTGTCTTGTCGCAATGCGCCCCATTTCAGAGAGAAAAAACGTATTTACATGCCTGATGGTACACATTATTGATCATTTTATTTCTTACTGGGTATAAGACACGCATAAACTCATTTCAGAGCTTGAAGTAAATTGAGCATTTTCCAACGATCAATTTTTAAAATAAGTTTACAAAATCATCCACAATATTGTTTCGATTTTAGAAGGGCATATAAACCATCTGTACTATTGGATTTGTTGTTCATATATAAATTTTCTTACTTCTACA